CAACTCTAGGCAAAGCAAAGAGTCCCACATTGGAATATTACAAGAAGTGAAGGCTCCCCCTCACCTATAAAAGGAGACCACTCTCCCCTTAGAAAAGGATCCCTTGGGCTGGGCTTGGTCTTTAATCATGACCTTCCCTTTTCTTACATTTAAATTTGGGTCCAACCCCATGTACTAATGTAAATACACAATATTATAATAATGAGAATATACTTCTCCGTGGACGTAGCCCATTCATTAAGGGTGAACCACCTATATCTTGTCTATAGTATGTTTATCGCTTGCTCAAATCCTCACACACTTGGTGAAGGTCCTCACCTTCACCCATCACCCATCACACCTCATCACTAAGTTGGCCTCAAAAGTGCCGAACCATTTTTGAGCGTCAACAAATATTATATTTTAGTATGATTAATATGGACTAAGATGTTCCACAAAATAATTTAATGAGGATGATGCAAGGCAATTAGTCAATGATTACTAAATTAAAGTGCTATGCCGGCTTTATTTCTCCCATGGGAAGAAAAATTATTGAATATGATCCGTCAATTAGGGTTCTTACTCGAATTATTGACTGTTAAACCCAATTTAGGGCACCAATCATATAATATTGGGGAAAATCAAATTAACACCCAGATATTGAAATTGATTTTATGCCGACAAGTTGTCTCCTGTAAGGAAGGATGCCGGTCCACTTAAGCTCTTCAAATTAATCCTACTTAACTGTAACCGAAAAATTAATCCTCTTCAAGCAACAAGGACGTGTTCAACACTAATTGGGTAAAATACCAAAACTTCAAATCCAATCCCACTGTACACCCGAGCACACCTAATCACCCACGTTTCAATTTTTTAAAGTCTTTCCTAAATATCTCTCACTGTCTCAACTACAAACCGGTGAAAAGGACGAGAAATTGAAATTCCGTGAAAGGAAAAGCAGAGGAGGAGAGAGACCCTCTGATCGTTGTATTATCTGATCTCTGTGTTTGGCGGAATCCCCAATCCATTAAATCAATAAAAACATACAAGAGTGAGAATCCAAAGATACCCACTTGGGGTGTTTGGCTCATTTTATCGGTTGCCGCTGAGCTTTCAGTGATCCAAAAACAGAGCAAAAAACAGAGTAGGATTTAGGAACAGTGGTAGGTAGCTGAAAGCAGAGCAATGGGCATTTTGCATGAGGATGTTGTGGTAATTAACCAGGCAAAGAAGGCTGGGGAACCCACTGTAATCACTGTCAATTGCCCTGACAAAACTGGATTGGGCTGTGATTTGTGCAGGGTTATATTGCTCTTTGGGCTAAGCATTTGCAGAGGAGGTGAGGGTTGTTGTTATTGACTGTATGTTTTTTTTTGCTTTTGGTTTAATTTTCTTTTTTCTGGGTAATTCTGAATTTTTCGGAGGTGGGTTTTGGAGTGTAGTCAGTGAAGTGGTGGGCAGTGTGATTTATTTGATGTTTTTAGGTTTTTTTTTGGCTGATTTACTGGGAAATTTACTGTTTGGATCTGAAATTCTTGAGAATACAGGTCATTTTGTTCTTGAGTTTTTCTGAAACGTTTTGGTACGGAAAGAATGAAATACATAGGGAACCATCCTTTTCTTGCGGCATGCTCCTCAGATTTACGGATTCGCAGGGGGCCTCAGGCCCCACTTTTAGAGAGAAACAAAGAATTGGTTTGAGTTTCTTTTTGTGGTAAATCAGAAAACAGGTTATTCTTCATGAGTCTTGGAGTTTTGAGTGATAGTTTAGTTTTTATAAGTTTCCCTTAATATTTTATTGAATGTGCTGGTGATTAGTTTAGCTTTTTTTGTGGAGCAGATGTTTCAACAGATGGGAAATGGTGCTACATAGTGTTTTGGGTGGTGGGAAAACCAAATACAAGGTGGAATTTGTTGACAAAGAGATTGTTGGAAGTGTGTCCGTCGTATTTGTCGACTTCTGGAATATTCTATTATCACCCTGAAAACCAGCAGCCTAAGCCACCGGATGTTTTCCTTCTTGAATTCTGGTGCTCTTATGAACGGGAAGGCCTATTGCATGGTAATACGAACCTTTCAGTTCTAAGAATGTCACTTGCTTGAGTAATTGTTATCTTGGGAATTGTTTCTTCTTTGTAGGCGTTATCCCCTAAGCCTAATTTGGCTTAGAAGTACCGTACTTAATGAATTTCGCATTTGTTTTCATGCGGGAATGTTGCATATCTTGCTCAATGATTTGTCTGAACCTTCCAACTTAGTAAGAAATTTGAAATGGACAAAGTTATGAATTTGAAGATCATTTATGGGTGATTATCAATTTTGTATCTGATGATATAGAAAGGCTGTGATCACTGTCTATGTAATTGCGACTTTGATGATGGTAATGTCGAAGCATTGCAAGAAGTTAACAAGTAATTTTCATATCCCTTGTTTAGAATGGATTGAAGTTACCGAGGAATATAATTTATGACAGATTGGTATAAGAATAAGTTATTTTTTTAAGTCGCCTGAAATGGAATGAAGACAACTTAAATCGTTATCATTATGATCCCTTTTCCATCCATAAACATAAATGACAACTCTTATTTTTTCTTCTTCTTTTCCTTTTGAGTTTTGGGAAATCAAGAAAAGGGATCTTTACTTTCACTTATCTAACCAAAGTTACCTGTTGGAATGCAAATAATGTTGCTTATCTATTTGGTTAATCAACTTTTAAGTGTTGTTTGTTTCTATTTGTTTCTTTTTCTTCTCTTCCCTTACCTAGTATTGCCTACTTTTCTGAATGCATCTCAATACTTGAGCAGAAAATGTATCGTATGGAGCCATATATTTTGTTTTTTGTTTTTTGTTTTCCTGAATAAGAGCCGTATATTTTGTTTGAGACTGTTATTAAAACTTTTTTCATAATAGATGTCACTGAGGTTCTCTGTGAGCTGGAGCTCACAATACATAGAGTGAAGGTATCTACTACCCCGGATGGGAGAGTGATGGACCTTTTTTTTGTTACAGATACCAGGTTTGTCATTCTTGACGTTGCTTCACTTTTAATCATGGTGCAGCATTTCTTCTTGTATTTTTCTCTTTTTACTTCCCTATCTTCATGTGCCTTATTGTCAACTTGATTGTTACTGGCAATAATTCAAAGGGAAAAAAGAAAAGAGAGCTGCAATCCTCCATTTGGTTCCTTAGATTTGCTTTTGCATAATTCTTAAATCAAGTGTTTTTGTATTTTATTTCCAATAATTCTGTACTCGCTCATGCTGCCAATGGAAATGGAGTCTAGATGTCAGTGTCTCATGTCTATGTGAGGCCAATTGCTCAAATATGGTTAATAGAAGCTTTTTCCTTCTCTCTTTTCAATCAGAGAACTTCTTCATGCAAAAAGAAGACAAGACGAAACAATTCTTTGTCTGAAAGCTGTTTTAGGGGATGCCTTGTTGAGTTGCAAAATTGAATTGGCTGGATCAGAGGTTACCGCTTGTTCACAGGGTTCTCCATGTCTTCCTTCTGCCATCACTGAAGAAATATTCAGTTTAGAGCTGCCCAATGGACGCCTAGGCAGATCTGTTGCCTCCAACCCCATTTCATTAACAGTGGACAACAACCTTAGCCCATCTCACACACTCGTTCAAATCTTCTGTCAGGATCATAAAGGCCTTGTATATGATATCATGAGAACCCTAAAGGATTACAACATTCAGGTACATCTTATAAGCTATATAGAGCTTTTCTTTTTGGGAGAGAAAAACTTTTAGGTTGTGTTTCAAAATTTCACATTTTCAGTATTGAAACGAATTGTCATCATCACTCATCGAACATGTTACAGTATTATGTTTGCAGAATATTAATTTGTTTCGTTAGCGTTTAATAGTTGATCGTAAGAAATTATGATTCCTGGGAAAGGTTGTGGAGGTTTCATTTGACATTTGGTGTTATTATGCATGTGTGGTTGTGACCTTTGTTAGCTGATAATGTCAGGTTTCTTATGGACGATTCTATGCAAGCCCAAAGGGAAATTGTGAGGTGGACTTGTTCATAATGCAAGCAGATGGCAAGAAGATTGTTGACCCCAACAAGCAAAATGCATTATGTTCTCGTTTGAGAATGGAGCTTTTGCGTCCTCTTAGAGTGGCGGTGGTGAGCCGTGGCCCTGATACTGAGCTGGTGGTAGCTAACCCTGTTGAGTTGTCTGGCAGGGGTCGTCCTCTAGTCTTTTATGATATTACTCATGCCCTCAAAGTTCAGAAGACACACATCTTTTCGGTACTGGCTCCAACCAATGCCATGAGTGTCTTATGTAATATTTTCCTACATTCTCTTTAGGGACATCCTATCTAATTTTGACATTCTACCATTCATTTTGCTTTGGTTATTTCAGGTTAAGATAGGGAAACACATGATCCAAGATCGGGAGTGGGAGGTCTACAGAATCCTGCTAGATGAAGGAGTTGGTTATTCAGTGCCAAGGAACAAAATTGAGGAAGGTGTAAGAAATAAATTGATGGGTTGGGAATAGATTGGCGCCAAATTTAGTTAATGGCTTCCATCACTGTACAGTGTACAGTATATTTTTCTTAGCATTGAGTTTCTACTACATCAAGAGCTAGTAGTATTTCATCCTGTTCTTCATTCTTTATGGTTTCTTCTCTGATCTTTCACAATTTTATCTGTCGGTTCAAGATCAAAGTTCAGAGGAGCTGTAGTTTACAGGTTTACATGGGCTACAGATCATAGGGTTATTGTTTTTCTGTTCAATGAGTATCACCATTCAAACAAGCTCACCGTCCGTGTAACTTGAGCATTGGTATGGCTCATAGCAAGAGCCGTCTTCGTCGGTGGCCTGCACCAGCCTTGCACGTCTTGAGGACTGACCTGAACGTTGTTTCAGATTTTGCTTCAAAAGTCTCTACAGTCGACTGACAAAATTGAACAAAGATACCACGAAAATGACACTGCACTCCGCCGCAAGCAAGTCCTTCCTGTTTACCACTCTGCACATTTGAAGCATGCTTGGATTTTTACATTTATACGGCTCATTTGGCATATATAAGGACTCGTTTAGCACGTCAGATTAGACTGGATTGGACTACCCAATACATAACTATTTGGCACATGCTGAAAGAAACTGAACACAAAACATGAATTTTAAATACGTGGAGCTACGTAACAAAATAACATGGAATTATTAAGTTAAAAGTAAAGAAAGATTTTTCTAAGTAGTTCCAAAGTTACCAACACATCATTTCATCTAAAAAGTTAAAGCTTTGAAAAATATGTGTGGCTCGTGAAGCAGCCCCTCGTGGCTGAACTTCCATTACTTTCAGTGGTCGTTAGCAGTTTGTTGGGTTGTTTCTTGGCGGCCCCACTTTCCCTCCAAATTCCAATCGCAGAGGAGATGCCTCCGAATCTTCTTCCGTCGTTGCCAATTCAGACACACAACGGAAACAAAATCACGAACCAGACGCTTGAAAAACTACAACCATAAAATAGAGAAAGAAAAAAAAAAATCAAAGTCTCCTAGTAATTTGTGTTTAGAAATAAAATTCAGCGAGAGAGAATGAGAGCTTTGAGCTCACATTTTGTGCTTGTGGATCTTCAGAACTCATGGCACTCAGCAAACCAAATCCCCACCTCGACCCTCTGTTACCTTCAGAACTCCAACTTCATCTCCACAGTGTCTTCGTCATTGCGTCGAACACGTCGTGCGCATAAGCCAATCGCTTCGTCCAAATCCTCCTCCCCACCGATTCCGTCGCCGGAAATTCGGCGGCCATCGGATCGGTTCTTTTCCGGGAATGGGTCGTTGTCGAATTCTACGAATTCGAATTCGGCTTCCACGTCGCAGCCGCAGGCCGCTCCGGAGCTGGAAATGTTACTTGAATTGTTGCCTATGAGGATGAAGAGTGAGCTGTACGGGCACGAGGAGATTGGCGAGCTCATTGAGGTTGTGATGGATTTAGGAAGGAGCCCGATTGCGAGGTTTCCTTCGGGTGATTGGGTGATCTCAGAGAAGCCTGTGAACCACGAAGATCTACGGCACGCTGTATCGAAGGTGATCTACGACAAGTAAATAAATGGTTTGAAGCATTTTTATGCAGATTGAGACTTAAGAGTCATATTTGCATGAAATAATTTTATTTGGCCGATCTTCAATTTGGTGGTTAACGGTGGTCTTTTTCTGGTGTACGTCCAAATTTACTCATTTATTTATTTATTTCTATGTTTGATTGGAATATTCATACAGAGATAGATACCAACTTACATTTTCATGTCAGAAAATTCAGCGTTTTATATTCAAATGGATTGCCAATTTTAGGCCCTTGTGTGATTGCTTAATAAGTTAATAGCTTATTATCAATCATTAACATCTTTAATTTAAATATTGTGTTACAGTTGGAATGTTTGTGGAGGAGGGAAGATATAGTTACTTATATTTCTTATGTCATGCTACGTTCTGCTTAATGTAGGTTAGTGAGTTTTCAGATGACAACCGTTCGGGTATTAATAACTCATTACATCGGATTAGTGCTATTCGAAACCGTAAGTTGCAAATCATTGGCCTCACTTGCCGTGTGGGACGAGCTGTGTCAGGAAGTGCTGAGGTCATCCGCGATTTGGTTGAGGGCGGAGGTTCCATCTTGGTGATAGGACCTCCTGGAGTTGGCAAGACAACCTTGATCAGGTATTTCCTACTCAAGGTTTAAAGTAACATTTAAATTTCCATTTTCTCCCATTTTGAATTGGCATCAAGAATGAACATGTTATGATTTTCGAGAGGATATGTTGGTGCAGAGAAATTGCTAGAATGTTGGCAGATGATCAGATGAAGCGTGTTGTGATTGTGGATACATCTAATGAGATTGGTGGAGACGGAGATGTTCCTCATGCAGGAATAGGTCGTGCAAGGAGGATGCAAGTTCCTAATGTTAATATGCAGCATAATGTGAGTGTTGAAATAAGTTCTATGACTTGTTATCAGCAACTGCTCTTTTAGTTCCCAAGTAAATTTTGCATTACTTCTTTCACCCATATCATATTTTTTTCCCCTTTTGAACTTGTACACAGGTTATGATTGAAGCAGTGGAAAATCATATGCCCGAAACAATAATTATAGATGAAATTGGAACAGAGCTTGAAGCATTGGCTGCCAGTACTATTGCTCAGAGAGGAGTCCAACTAGTTGGAACAGCACATGGAATGACGATAGACAACATAATGAAGAATCCTTCTCTACAAATCCTTGTTGGTGGCATAGAGGTGCAATGCAATATCTTTTTCTGCCACTCTGTATTCGTTTATATTGGATATATAGGTATATATTCCAACAAAAGTTATGCTAAATCTACTAGGTTTACAAAGTGCTATTAGTTCTCCTTGGTGATGTCATATATAAATGATCATTTCCAGTTTGTGTTGGGACCTTACCAATTTAAGGCTTTCCCAGATAAGAAATGTCGATTGATTATACCAGTTATCATCTGAATGCAGAGTGTTACTCTCGGTGATGAAGAAGCTAGAAAAAGGAAGGTTCAGAAGACAATTCTTGAAAGAAAGGGGCCTCCTACATTTACATGTGCTGTTGAGATTATATCTAAAGCAGAGTATCGTGTGCATCACAGATTAGATGCAACTGTGGATGCTATACTGGCTGGTATTCTGTGCTTTCTTCTTTGGAGAATCCCAATTAATGTCTTAACTGGTTTATTTACTGTGTACTTCTCTTACAAGTGACGTTTTTAGGGCAACAATTAATCCAATTGAAATCTTTCTTTGGTACAGGAAAAACTCCTTTATTTGAAGTCCGTCGTATTGATGCGGAGGCTAATGACTCTCGCAAGTCTATTCCACTACCAGAAAAGAACTGTCTAAAAATATCTAATTTTACTGTTAATGAAGACATTGATGCTTCTGCTGACATAGAGTCTGATGGGGAAGATCTAGATCATTCTCCTAATTGGTCCAAAAATCACTCCAAAAAACCTGGCAGCAATATATCTTTGAAGAAACAAAGGTTACCAGTCTGTATCTATACATACAAGGTAAATTGCTCTCTTAGGCTTCACTTTATGTTTTCAATTGGAAGTTTCAAATCCACACTCGTTGAAATGAGAATGAAGGTCATGCATTACTTTTAGTTCAGATTTTGACGTTTTATAAAGTAATGTGCAAAATTGGAGGCTACATAAGCTCAATTAAGTGTTGGGTATGCAGTTCAGTTAAGAAGAGCAACATAATGAATTTTGCCAGAATGCTATTGAATAGTAGATAGTTTTTCACAATCCAGATGATTTGTATTTAAACCTTTCTTTTTATTATTTGATGTACTATAGATCCTTGAGGCCGACCTGCTACAAGTAGCAAAGGTGATGGGGCTTGAAGATGAAATAGAGGTAACTGATGATATTGGAACAGCAGATGCAATAATAGCATCCAGTTCTGAAATGAAGCAGAATCCATGGATCCGAGGTGTAGCAAAATTCCACCAGTTGCCTGTATTTGTCATGAAGGTAAGTATGCTCGTGTGTTTTTAAACTTTCTCCGTTTGTGTATTTATGTCTATATAGGCTTGTATACACGCCGACTTCGTGTCTCATTGAGATATTTGGTGTCCATAATTGCAGTCAAATACCATGGCACAAATGGTCAAGGCAGTTCGTATGATTCTTGAAATGGAATCAGTTGGGTCTTCGCCAAAGCAGCTAGTCAAGAATCCTTTCGACATTGAAATTGAAGATGATGCCCCAAAACGAAAACCATCTTTGGAAGAGATTGATGCATTGGAGGTATATTTCCTTTTCTATGTATGTATGTATTTGCATCGTCTGAGAAATTTGACCTTTGTTCTCTCTGTTGTAATCCCCATACTACATGGCCAAATATTCCAAGGAAGGGATAACATTCAACTTCACATTGAACATTTCTGTTTTTTGTCTGTAAATTATTCCCATTCATGTCTCCCTACATATATATCACATGCTTAATATACATTTTCTTTCTCCTTTTGTTTTTGATAGGAGGTTCGACTTGCAATCGAGTATATCGTGATTCCTGGTGGAGAGCCAGTAGAGCTTCTCCCAAGACGCTCTGAAATAATTGCCCGGCAGCTAGAGCTAGTGGCAAGTTATCAGTTGGCTGCTGAAAATTCAGGTACTGAGATGAATCCCAGGTTGCAGATTCTTCCCATGAGATTAAACAAGAAGAAATCTTCTTCTAAAGCTGCAAAATCCAGTTCAAGTTTTCTGAAGGTGATTAACTCAAAATCACTAACTGGCGGTGGAGGAGGTACCAGCGTTACGAGGCTGCCGCTTTTATCTGACCAATAGTAGGATGGATGGATGGATGGATGGATGGATGAAGCCTCCCTCAAGCTCAACTGTAACATATATTTCAATCGCTGGTTGATACATGGCATGGGCCATTTCATGTATAGTCGTCGTGTACAATAAGTATGTCAATTCATGTAATTATTTCAATTAATATGTAACGAACTCTTTGCAATTATTTATTCTTCAACCAAATAGCGCATCAAATCAATAACAGATTTTTCTTTTCTCCAAATGGATTTTCCAACGTTTTGGTTTGGATTTAACATTAGAA